ATAGAGGAACACTAGAGCTCACCCTGAGTCTAATTGCTATAGAGGAACACTAGAGCTCACTCTGAGTCTAATTGCTATAGAGGAACACTAGAGCTCACTCTGAGTCTAATTGCTATAGAGGAACACTAGAGCTCACCCTGAGTCTAATTGCTATAGAGGAACACTAGAGCTCACCCTGAGTCTAATTGCTATAGAGGAACACTACAGCTCACCCTGAGTCTAATTGCTGTACTTTGGAGGATGTTTGGAGGGTGGCAGCAGGTTGTCAATTTTCTGCCACTGATCGATGAAAACTAAGATGAAACAATTGTTTGTGTCTTTATTTTAAAGGGATCCGCTGTGGGCAAAATGGAAACTTCATTGTCACTTTACCGTTACACCCTCTTTCAAAACCAGAGGTTTGTTTTTGAGGAATGTCAGTGAGGCCACACGGTATGGGTACTGACCTGTCACACCCAGTTAGACCTGACTACTGTCTGTTCAGCTGGATATTAAAGGGCCCAGGGCACTATTCAAACACGAGAGTCACTCAGGTAACATTCACCCAGTATCGACAGCACAACGAAGCATTGATCAGTCAGTCACCTCTGTGATATTGTGGTCTGTGTTTGTCACCATAACCACAGTAATATGTCTCCACAATTGGTGATATAGGGGATAGTGGAGAAGGTTATCTAAGATTACAAAGAGATCTTGATCAATTGGGTCAATGGGCTGACTCGTGGCAGATGGAGTTCAATCTGGATAAATGTGAGGTATTGCATTTTGGTACAACAAACAAAGGCAGGACTTATACAGTTAACAGTAGGGTCCAGGGTAGTGTTGTAGAACAGAGAGACCTAATGGCTCAGGTCCATAATTCTTTGAAAGTTGCATCACAGATAGATAGGGTGGTTACGAAGGCATTTAGCACACTTGCCTTCATTGCTCAGAACTTTGAGACTGGGATGTCATGACATTGGTGAGGCCTCTAAGTAGTGTGTCCAGTTCCAGTTGCCCTGTACAGGAAGGATATTATTAAACTGGAGTAGGCTCAGAAAAGATTTGCCAGGATGTTGCCAGGAATGGAGGGTTTGAAATATAAAAATAGACTGGAAAGACAGGGACTTTTTCCACTGGAGCATAGAAGATTGAAGGGTGACTTTATTGAGATTTATATAAAATTATGAGATCCATCGATAAGGTGAATGACAAGGGTCTTTTCCCTTGGGTGGGGAGTTCAAAACCAGGAGTCATATTTATAAGGTGTGAGGAGAAACACTTAAAAAGGACAAGGGGCAGCATTTTCACACAGAGAGTGGTTCGTGTGTGGAATGAACTTGCAGAGAAAGTGATGGATGCAGGTACAGTTACAACATTTAAAAGATTTTTAGATATGAATAGGAAAGGTTTGGAGGCATATGGGCCAAACACAGGGAGGTGAGACTAGTTTAGTTTGGGAATATGGTCATTGTGGACTGGTTGGACCAAAGGGTTTGTTTCTGCGCTGTGTGACTCTATGACTCTATAATATCCTTCAAAATGAATCTATCCAATAACACATTGACAGTGTGTAAGACAGTGTGTAAGAAAATGCATTTTGCCTGGCTTCTTGCTGTTATCAGGGACTAAATTACTCTCACAGCCTAAAACAAAATGGTAATAGATGAAGGGTCATTAGATCATTCTGAATATGACTGGTTCTCTCCCTGCAGCTTCTCAATCCAGCTTCTCTGCTGGACCTCTTAGGGCCTGTTGATTTAATTTCAGTGACCAGCTCCTGACTCAGTGTTTATTTCAGGTCCTAGAGTCTTCAATCAAGGGGAGGGTATAGTGTACATGTTGCTCAACACCCCCTCCCCCCCACCACACACACACACACAATACACATAACTACAACAATGCTGATGCTCCCTGACACTAACGTTAACACTCTCTGACACACATAGACACACAATACAAATAATTATGCTCACACTCCCTGACACACACACACAGTATGAATAAGTACAGTTTGACTCCCACACACAGTACGATAACTCTATACTCTCACTCTCTGACACACACACACACAATCATTTTAACAGTATCTATGTCTATTTTGAATGTGAAACATTAAAGGACCCTGAATGAAATATTATAGGAACAGATGTAACGCAGCCATGGCCCTTGCCTGCTCTCCTGTTCCATTAGAGTCTGGTGAACCTGTCTCCCTCTCCATGTATTTTGGATCTGTGGGCCTCCTTCCCCAACACACATGTATAAATCTGAGTCTGCAAAGCTCCAATAGGAAAGCAAATGGAATGTTGGCCTTTTTATCTAAAGGGAATAGAGTATAAAATTAGGGAGGTCTTGATTGTACAAGGCACTGGTTTGACCAATCCGGGAATTTTGTGTATAGTTTTGGTCCCCTCATTCTGAGAAAAGAAACGGTGGGTTTGGAAACAGTCAGGAGAAGGTTCACTTGGCTGATCCTGGGACTGGAGGGACTTCCAATGAGAGGTTCGATAGGTTGGGCATGGACTCATTGGAGTTTAGAAGGATGAGAGGTGATCCCAGCGAAACACACAAAATTCTTAGGGGAATTGACAGGGTTTAGGTAAAGCGTCGAAGACCAGAGAGAATAATTTCAGGGAAATTAAGGCAGAGATGAGGAGGGGAGTGAATCTGTGGAATTCTTTACCACAGAGGGCTGTTGAGGATGGGTCATTAACTAAATTCATGGCCGAGAGAGGCAGATTTTTCATCAGGGAATCAATGGTTACGGGGTAAAAGAGTGGAGTGGAAGATTATCAGATCAGCCATGATCAATGGCCCACTTCTGCTCCTATATCTTATGGTTTCAATCTGTGAAAACACAAAGTCTGACTAAAAACAAGAGGGGAAATGAGTGTGAGAAAAAGATAGCCAGGAATCTAAAAACAGATAGTAAGAGTTTCTATCAATATTTGAAGAGTAAAACCTTACACTGTGTGTTGGCCCTATAGAAATACCGAATGACTAAGGGAAAATAAGGAGATGCAGATGAATTGAACTGGTATTTTGTATTGGTCTTAATTATAGAAGGTTCGAGTTATATCCCAGAAGCAGTGATACATCTGGAAGTGTGCAGGAGCAAAGAACTGAGGGAAATCAGAACCATCAGGAAGTGGTCCCAAGTAAATGGCTGGAGCTGCACTGACAAGTGCCCAGTTTCTGATGGACTTCACTGCAGGGTCTAAACGTGACAAGTGAGATCATTGGTGTGGTTTTAATTTTCCAAACTCCTTGGATTTTGGCATTGTTCCAATAGATTGGAGATTAGCAAATGTGACTTCTTTATGCAGAGACAGACAGCGAGAGAGCACACGATAGCGCGAGACAGGCAGCAGAGAGAGTGAGAACGCACGTGCGTGAGGGAGAGAGAGAGAGAGAAAAAACAGGAAATGACAGGCCATAAACAAAACCAGCAATTGCTGGAAAAACTCAGCAGGTCAGGCAGCATCTTTAGAGAGAAAACAGACTTAATGTTTTGGGTTCAGTGACACTTCTTTAGAACTGATGGTAGCTAGGAAAAGGATGACTTTTATACAGAAGATGGGGTGGGGGGGTGAGTAAATGATAGGTGGAGATAGAGCCTAAAGAAAGAGAAAAACAGTTGGACAGACAAAGGAGTGGTTAAAGGTCAGCCTGGGGGAATGAATAGCTACTAATGGGGACCATTAGTGACTGACAATGGGTAGTGGGTGGTAGCAGCCCATGTGATGATAAGGCCTGGTGTGTGAGGGTCAGGCTGCGGACATGGCCTCAGGATTTAAAATTGTTCAATTTGATATTACATCCTGAAGGCTGCAGAATTCCCAAGCAGAAAATGAGGTGCTGTTCTTCGCTGCAGGAGGCCTCAGGAACAGCTCCTTTGACATAGTTAATTCTTGCAGAGTGTTGGCTGACAAAATGGTGACACATTGATTTTGGTACCATTCCCAGTTGGGACAGTCAGGGATGAGCTGAATTATTCTCAATGTTTCTCCTGACGATGTGTCAGGTTTACAATCAGTTCACTCACCTTCACTACAACGCTCTCTAACAAACACAGCAGCTTCAGTCCACCTGAAAGCACAGGGGGACAGCAAAAAAATGTGCCAGACACAGGGATAACATGGTCCTTTATTGAGGACATGTAGAAGCATAGAGACGTCATTGTCTGGTTGTGTCGGTGGTGTCGATAGGGATTTGAGGGAGAAGCTGCAGTCCCACCATTGAAGGTGAATCTGTTTGACGTGTATCAGGAGATCTGCCAGGTGGGATTGAAGAATTTGATCTTCTTCTCTTTCGCCCATTTTGCAAAGACGCCTTTCTCTGTAATGAACCGGTGCCCCCCGTACTGTGCATTCTCGTGTAGGTAATACTCGGCACATTCCTCCTGCCCGCTGGGCTCGTAGTAATGATACGGCACGTTCCTGTGCCCCTCGGTGCTGTTGACGGAAAAGACACCACGTCATTCTCTTAAAGAATGTTAGAGAGACCAACAATTCCTAAATGACTCTGAGAATCCTGGCTGCTACACCATTGCAGCACAGGGAGATTGCAGCCCTGCCTGAAGGTGCTGTGTTTCTGAAAGAAATGTTAATCTATCTCCTCCAGGAGATCAAAACAATGGTATAGCCCGTTTTCTGCAGAACGACATGGGGTTTCCCCTGGCCAATACAGATCCTCCGTTAACATCAGAATAAACAGATGATGTGGTATTGCTGGGAATTTAATGAACTTGCCATGTTGTCTCCACACTGCATGAGGACCTACAAATATTATTCTTTATTTGTTTTATCGGATGTGGGTGCCACTGGTAAGGCCAGAATTTGTTGCCCGTTCCTAAATGCCCTTTGAATAGTGAGGCTTGAGAGACCATTTCAGGGGGTAGACAAGAGTCAGCCACATTGCCAAGGGTCGAGAGTCACATGTAGGCTAGACCAGATAAGGACGGCAGATTTCCTTCCCTATCGGACATGAGTGAACCAGATAGGGTTTTTTAAGACAATCAATGATAATTGTCATGGTCACCATCACTGACATGGTTTATTTATTTCAGATTTCTTGTCCCCTGGATTAATAAACCGGTGAGAGTACCATTCCATCACCAACTCCCCACATGAACTGTAACAGACTGTAATTTACTTTGGGATGGTCTGAGCACTTGAAAGGTGTTAAAGAAATGCAAATTCTTTTCTTCTGATGTCTTCCCTTAGAATTTGGTCTCACTGTTCTCTCAATGAAACTGCTGTGAAATTGGGATTTCTCCCCATGATGCTAGACTGACCATCTGAAAACTCAAACCTGATACAGAGAATGTTAATAATAAACACTTCCCACTGTGTGAACTTGCTGGTGATACTGATGATGATGCTGTGCTCCATGTGAGTTTCTCTGTTCAATGTACTTTGGCCCATTCTACACTCAGCCTCCGCATTGACACAACCAGTCAGTTACTTCATACCACCAGTGTCCAACCAGCAACAATTTTCTGCCTTTGACTGTCCACATGTGATGCCTGGGCTTCACCACATTCCGAATCTTGGCTAATCCTTCCTACAGCACTTCCAAATGACTCAAAAGGCGGTAGAGAATACTTAAGAGGGAAATCAGGAGAGCTAAGAGGGGACATGAGATAGCTTTGGCAAATAGGGTTAAGGAGAATACAGAGGGATTCTACAAATACATTAAGGACAAAAGGGTAACTAGGGAGTGAATAGGGCCCCTTAAAGATCTGTGGAGCCACAGTAGATGGGAGAGATACTAAACGAGTATTTTGCATCAGTGTTTATTGTGGAGAAGGATATGGAAGGTATAGAACATGGGGAAATAAATAGCCACATCTTGAAAAATGTCCATATTACAGAGGAGGAGATGCTGGACGGCTTAAAACTCAAAGGTGGATAAATCCCCGGATCCTGCTCAAATGTACCCAAGAATTCTCTGGGAAACTAGGGAAGTGATTGCTGGGCCCCTTGTTGAGATATTTATATCACTGGTAGCCACAGGTAAGGTGCCAGAAGACTGGAGGTTGGCTAACGTGGTGCCACTATTGAAGAAAGGTGGGAAGGAAAAGCCAGGGAACCATAGACCGGTGAGCCTGACATCGGTGGTGGGCAAGGTGTTGGAGGGAATCCTGGAGGAACGGATTTACATGTATTTGGAAAGGCAGGGACTGATTACGGAAAGTCAACATGGCGTTGTGTGTGGGAAATCACTGTGCTAAACGGGACAGACTTTCACACAGATTTCGCAACTCAAGACTGGGCATCCATGAGGCAGTGTAGGTCAACAACAGCAGAATTATACTCCAGCACAATCTGTAACCTCATGGCCCAGCATATCCCCAACTCAACCATTACCATCAAGCCAGGGGATCAACCTGGTTCAATGGAGGGGCAGCCAGGAACAGCACCAGGCATACCTGAAGATGAGATAGTTAGAACTGTCAAAGCTGGAGTCAGAGATAACAAGGTGTGGAGCTGGAGGAACACAGCAGGCCAGGCAGCATCAGAGGAGCAGGAAAGCTGATGTTTCGGGTCGGGACCCTTCTTCAGCCCTGTCTGTCTTTCATAGGTACTGCTCACTCCGCGACTCCCTTGTCTGCTCCACACTCCCCAATAGCCCCACCACTCCCGGCACCTTTCTCTGCAACCGCAGGAGGTGCTACACCTGCTCCTACACCTCCCCCCTCACCCCCATCCAAGGAACCAAACAAACCTTTCACATCAGGCAGAGGGTCACCTGCACATCTGCCAATGTGGTCTACTGCATCCGCTGCTCCCGATGTGGTCTCCTCTACTTTGGTGAGACCAAGCGGAGGCTTGGAGACCATTTTGTATAGCATCTGTGCTCTGTACATGACAAATGACAAACGACAGCACCTTCCAGTCACCGACCACTTCAAATGCCCCTCCCATTCCCTGGGCGACATGTCCATCCTGGGCCTCCTCCAGTGTCACAATGACACCACCCGCAAACTGGGCGAGCAGCACCTCATATTCTGTCTCGGGAGCCTACAGCCCAAGGGTCTCAATGTGGGCTTTACCAGTTTCAAAATCTCCCCACCCCCGGCCTCATCCCATGACTAACCCTCCCTCTTATCCCCACCTCCTTGACCTGACACAACTTGTCCATCTTCTCTCCCACCTATCTGCCCCACTCCCCTCACTGACCAATCCCCACCACTCCCTACCTGCGCTCACCTATCACCATCCCGCCTACCTTCCCCATCCCCACCCCTCCTCTCTCTCTTTATTTCTGAGCTCCCTTCCCCCTCTCCCATTTCTGAAGAAGGGTCCCGACCCAAAACGTCAACTTTCCTGTTCCTCTGATGCTGCCTGGCCTGCTGTGCTCCTCCAGCTCCACACTGTGTTATACCTGAAGATGAGGTATCAACCTGGTGAAGCCACCAAACAGGACTACTTGCACGCCAAAACAGCATAAGTAACAAATGATGGACGGAGCTAAGCGATCACACAACCAACGGATCAGATCTAAGCTCTGCAGTCCTGCCACATCCAGTTGTGAATGGTGGTGGACAATTAAGTAACTCACTGGAGGAGGAGGCTCCACAAATATCCCCATCCTCAAAGATGGAAGAGCCCAGCAGATCAGTGCAAAAGGTAAGGCTGAAGCATTCGCAGCAATCTTCAGCCAGAAGTGCCGAGTGAATGATCCATCTCGGCCTCCTCCAGTGGTCCCCAGCATTACAGATACCAGTCTTCAGCCAATTCGATTCACTCCACGTGATATCAAGAAACAGTTGGAGACACTGGATACTGCAAAGGCTACGGGCCCTGACAACATTCCGGCAATAGTACTGAAGACTTGTGCTCCAGAACTTGCTGCTCCCCTAGCCACGCTGTTCCAGTACAGTTACAACACTGGTATCTATCCAGCAATGTGGAAAATTGCCCAAGTATGTCCTGTACGCAAAAAGCAGGACAAATCCAACTCGGCCAATTCCTGCCCCATCAGTCTCCTCTTGATCATCAATAAAGTGATGGAAGATGTCATCAACAGCGCTATCAAGCAGCACCTGCTCAGCAATAACCTGCTCAGTGACGCCCAGTTTGGGTTCTGTCAGGGCCACTCAGCTCCTGACCTCATTACAGCCTTGGTTCAAACATGGACAAAAGAGCTGAATTCCAGAGGTGAGGTGAGAGTGACAGCCCTTGATATCAAGGCTGCATTCGACTGAGTGTGGCATCAGGAGCCCTCGCAAAACTGGAATCAATGGGTATCGGGGGCAATCTCTCCGGTGGTTGGAGTCATACCTGACACATAGGAAGATGGTCGTGGCTGTGGGAGGTCAATCATCTCAGCTCCAGGACATCTCTGCAGGAGTTCCTCAGGGTAGTGTCCTAGGCCTAACTATCTTCAGCTGCTTCATCAATGACCTTCCCTCCATCATAAGGTCAGAAGTGGGGATTTTCACTGATAATTGCACAGTGTTCAGGCCCATTCACGACTCCTCAGAAACTGAAACAGTCCATGTTTAAATGGAACAAGATCTGGACAATATCCAGGCTTGGGCTGACAAGTGACAAGTAACATTCGCGCCACACAAATGCCAGGCTATGACCATCACCAATAAGACACAATCTAACCACCGTCCCTTGACATTCAATGGTGTTACCATCACTGAATCCCCCACTATCAACATCCTGGGGGTTATCATTGACCAGAAACTCAACTGGACTCACCACATTAACACATTGGCTACAAGAGCAGGCCAGAAGCTGGGAATACTGCAGTGAGTAGCTCACCTCCTGACTCCTCAAAGCCTGTCCACCATCTACAAGGCACAAGTCAGGAGTGTGATGGGATACTCCCCACTTGCCTGGATAAGTGTAGCCCCAACAACACTCAAGAAACTCGACACCATCCAGGACAAAGCAGCCGCTTGATTGGCACTACATTCACAAACATCCACTCCCTTTACCACCGACGCTCAGTAGCAGCAGTGTATAGTATCTACAAGATGCACTACAGAAATTCACCAAAAATCCTTAAACAGCACTTTCCAAACCCACGACAACTTCCATCCAGAAGGGCAAGGGCAGCAGATATATGGGAACACCACCACCTACACATTTCCCCTTCAAGTCACTCACCATCCTGACTTGGAAATATATTGCCATTCCTTCACTGTCGCTGGGTCAAAATCCTGGAATTCCCTCCCTAAGGGCATTGTGGGTCAACCCACAGCAGGTGGACTGCAGCGGTTCAAGAAGGCAGCTCACCACCACCTTCTCAAGGGGCAACTAGGGACAGGCAATAAATGCTGGCCAGCCAGCGACACCCACATCCCGCAAATGAATAAAAAAAATCATGTCTCACTAATTTGGTTGAGTTTTTTGAAGATGTACCGAAGGGATTTATGCAGGCTGTGCAGTGGACGTGATCTATATGGACTTTAATAAGGCATTCAACAAGATTCCTCATGGTAGACTGGTTAGCAAGGTTAGATCACATGGAATACAGGGAGAACTAGCCATTAGGAATCAGAACTAGCTTGGAGGTAGGAGACAGAGGGTGGTGGTGGAGGGTTGCTTTTCAGACTGGAGGCCTGTGACCAGTGGTGTGCCACTAGGATTAGTGCTGGGTCCACCACTTTTCCTCATTTATATAAATGATGTGGATGTGAACATAGGAGGTTAGTAAGTTTGCAGATGACACCAAAAAGGTGGTGTAGTGGACAGCAAAAAGGTTACCTCAGAATACAATGAGACATTGATCACATGGGCCAATGGGCCAAGGAGTGGCAAATGGAATTTAATTTAGATAAATGTGAGGTGCTGCGTTTTGGAAAGGCACATCAGGGCAGGACTTAAACACCTTTAATAGTAAGGTCCTGGGGAGTGTTGCTGGATAAAGAGACCTTGGAATGCATGCTCATAGTTCCTTGAAAGTGGGGTTGCAGGTAGACAGAATAGTGGAGAAGGCGTTTGGTATGCTTGCCTTTATTTGTCAGTGCATTCAGTATTGGAGTTGGGAGGTCATGTTGCAGCTGTACAAGACATCGGTTAGGCCACTTTTGGAATACTGTATGCAATTCTGGTCTCCCTGCTATAGGAAGGATGTTGTGAAAATTGAAAGAGCTCAGAAAAGATTTACAAGGCTGTTGCCAGGGTTGGAGGGTTTGAGGTATAGGGAGAGGCTGAATAGGCTGGGGCTATTTTTGCTGGCGTGTCAGAGGCTGAGGGGTGACCTTACAGAGGTTTATTAGGTCAGGAAGGGTATGGATAGGGTAAATAGACAATTTATTTTCCTGGAGTGGGGGATTCCAAAAAGAGAGGGCAAAGGTTGAAGGTGAAGGGGTAAGAGTAAAAAGGGACCTAAGGAGCAAATTTCTTACACAGAGGGTGGTGTGTGTATGGAATGAGCTGCCAAGGGAAGTGACGGTGGCTGGTACAATTACAACATTTACAAGGCACCTGGATGGGTTTAATCAATAGAAAGGGTTTAGAGGGATATGGGCCAAATGCTGGCAAATGGGACTAGACTTATTTGGGAAATCTGGTCAGCATGGATGGTTTGGACCGAAGGGCTGTTTCTGTGCTGTATATCTTTATGCCTCTAAATAAAGACAACCTGAAACTCTCTCCCCTCTCTGTGTGGAGTATCTCTTCTCCCTGATCCACCCTCTCCCTCTCACCCCCTCTCCCTGATCCCCCCTCTCCCTCTCCCCCCCTCTCCCTTCCCCCCCTCCCTCTCACCCCCTCTTCTCTCGGTCCCCTCTGCCTTCCCTCCCTCCCTCTCCCCTGCTCTCTTTCTCCTGCGCCCCCCATTCCCCCCCTCTCTCTACCTGCCCCCCCCCCTTCCCCCCGCGCCCGGGGGCCCCCCCCTCTCTCCCCCCCCCCACTCTCTTTCGGGGCTCTCTTACCACACCCCTCCACCCACCCCCGTGGGGTCTCTTTCTGTCTCTCTCCCTGCTGTGTGGCTATCCCATGGGGTAACTGTGCTGTGAACACATCCTGCCCAGAGTCTCTCCCTGATCTCTGCAATATTTCTCTGTCCAATCACTGCAGGAGAACCCAGTGAATGTGAGTGTGATGCCTTTCATTGTTGATAAGCAAACTTCCTTTCTGGCTCATGTGTTAACAAACTCAACTACTCCCCCCAGGCTGGGGAGGAGGGTGGTTGGTGACACAAGGGGGGCCTGTGTGGAGTCTTGGTGGTGTTGCGGGGGGGGCAAGGGCGTGTCTGATGTTTTGGGGTGGGGGAGCCGGTCCCATACCTGCAGAAAGATGCGTTAATCATCCCAAAGACGTGAATGGATCGACAGGCTTCCATTGCAACGATGAAGGTAAACCAACCCGTACTGAGGTAGGAGCCCGAAAGCACCCTGCGGGGGCGGGGGTAGAAAGGAGGAGGGGGGAAGAAGGGGAGAGTGGGGGTGGAGAGATTTGAGGGGAAGTGGGGAAGGCGGAGGGGTGGAAAGTGGGAGACGGGGGAGCAGGGGGGAGAGAGAGGGTGGAGAGAGGTAGAGGAGGTGGGGAGTGGGGGAGGTGGGGAGTGGGGGAGAGAGAGGGAGAGGTGGGGAAGAAAGAGTTAGCGACAATACCATTCACGTAGCAGTAAAACACAGCATGAGAAAATCCTCCTGGGAAATGTCAGCCCACTCCAAGACACTTGTGTTCCTCACCTGTCCTTCCCCGTCTCCTTTTTAAAAGCCATGTCACAATATCTCATCTGTTCCTCTGTCACAGTGTAGAGTTTGGCCGATGGGAAGCGGTTCTGAACAGTTCTCAGCATGTTATAGACCATCCCCTTGCCATCACGCCTCATGTTCCTGTGAGGACCCCAGAAAATGTAGATGGAGTTGTTGAGGTGGGAGCTGAAGGTGTTCTGCCGGAGGAGCCATGGTGTGCTGGTGTGAGACACCACTCTCACGGTTGTTATACTGCCCACGTCTGCCTCATATCCCTCCGTTGGAGCGTTGTTCATCCTCCAGACACATTCAGAGCTGTCAATGTCAGCCCCCAGGCCCTTCCCCAGCATCTGGCCAGAGCTGGACACAATGCTGCACTGGTCACAGCTCAGAGTCAATGGCTACAGGCAGAAACAAAACACACTCAGTCCCTGCCGACAGGCACAACGGTATCCCTCCCCCCTACCCCCACCCCCTGCACCGACCCCCACCCCACACACCTGCACACCACTACCCCACCACCTCCCCCCACCCCCCCACCACTCCCCTACACACAAACAAAACCATGTTATCTCCAATCTCAGTGTCAAACTTCACTGGGCATGTGGGCAGTGAGGTTACATGAGCTATTCCACCATGGGGTGCAGCATTCCAAATGTGATAGCGAAGGAGCGCCGCACTGTCGGAGGGTCAGTGCCGAGGGAGCGCCGCACTGTCGGAGGGTCAGTGCCGAGGGAGCGCCGCACTGTCGGAGGGTCAGTGCCCAGGGAGCGCCGCACTGGCGGAGTCACCTTGTTGGAAGTAGCCCTTGCCACCTTGGAGTATATGATAGGACCCATGGCATAATTTTTACAAGGAAGGACATAATCCTGTCTAATATTTAATTCCTCAACCAACATCCCAAGATAGATTAATTGATTATTACTGATTTGCCGTTTGTGGGAATTTGCTACTGCTTTTCGTTTGTTATAGGAAGGACCTGCACTGCATTGGCTCCAATGGGTTGAAGAACACCACAAGGATGTGCGTGGTACTCTCGGAATGCAAGTCAGTCTAATGTGCAGTGTAAATATGAACAATTGACAGAAATATTGTGATGTTTGTGGATTTCCCATCGTACTTACCTGTTGCTCTCTGAGGCTAACATAACCTTGCAACACCTTGGCATCCTGTCCATAAACACCAATCACATGGTTCTGTCTGCTGCCCAGCTCCCCACCCAAAGGGGACAGTATTATGGGATAGGGAGACTGATGGATATAGTGCACCACAGCAATGATAAAGGTTAATCCTCCAATCAGAGCCACTGCCACCAGAACGTTGAGCTGGGTACAAAGACAAATGAAATAAAGGTCAGAGATAGTAGGAACTGCAGATGCTGGAGAATCTGAGATAACAAGGTGTAGAGCTGGATGAACACAGCAGGCCAAGCAGCATCAGAGGAGCAGGGGCTGG